TGAGCGAGGGAGATAAGAACTCAGTCGCAGTCGTCGCCGGTTGGAAGAGGTTCTTAAGGGAATGGGGGGTGGAGAAGATCACCGCGATCTGCACGGACTCCTTTGCAGGGAACACGAGGGCTGCCAGGATGTTGAGGGAGGATCTTGAGTTTGCGCAGATCTACTGGATCCCTTGCACTGCCCATTGCATGGACCTCCTCATGCACGACATCTGCAAGCTGCAATGGGCGGTCGACATCATCGCCAAGGCAAATAAGGTGGTCAACGTCTTCCGACTTCACAGGTGGCCACGATCGCAGTTGAGGATGCAGCTGTTGCAGTCTCCAGAACTTGAGCGCATGTGCCTGCTTCGCCCTGCTCAGACGAGGTTTGGGACCCACTATGTGATGTTGCAGCGTCTCATGGTCTGCGCAAAGGCCATCACACGAATGGTGAGTGGAATTGCTTGGGAAACATGGTGTGGCGAGGGGACATCAGAGACAAGGCCTTCTTCGTGGAGGAGACTGTTCTTGATAAGGCCCTCTGGGCTGGTGTCAAGAAGTTGGCTGCCCTGATGAAGGGCCCTTGCAACGTGCTGCGAGAGGTGGACAAGGATATCCACTGCCTGTCCCGCATCTACGACATGGCGTGTCAGTTGCTAGTGTTCATTCGTGCAGCCCGTCTCACTGAGGAGGAGCGAGATGAGATCCTGTCGGCGGTGGCGAACAGGACTGACATGCTGCTTAGCCCGATCCATGCTGTTCCCCGACTGTTGGACCCTATGTTGAGGGACATTACTGTTTTCAGCAAAGTGGAGCTTATGGAACAGTTCGAGAGCGTTGTGGAGCAACTGGTGGGGAAGAGGGGTAGCCAAAGGTTCACGGACTGCATGGACCAGCTCTATGACTTCCAGTTTGGGAACGGGGTGTTTGGCTCCGATCGTGCAGTGCAACGAGCGTCGAAGGATAACGCGGTGTTGTGGTGGGAGGCGCACGGGGTTGGTCATCCAGAGATGAAGGCTCTGGCGGTCAAGGTGTTCTCCATCTGGACGACTTTCTCTGTAGCTGAGAGGAAGTGGAGTACTTGGGCCCTTGTGCAGACCAAGTCCAGGAACAAATTGCACCACCAACGCACCAAGAAGTTGGTGCACTCGCACTGGAGCCTCAGGCTCAAGAGCAGGGGTGATGATAGCCCCACTGTGGCAGGAGGGTGGTTGAGGTTGGCAGCGGACTGGGCGGACGAGGATTTGGAGGGTGATCAGGCTGGTGTGACGGACGTTGTTGACGATGGTGCGGTCGATCCTGATGACGGTCGTTCGGGTGCAAGCAGCACCAGCATTCGGCGTGATCTTGAAGTGCCAGGGACTTCGACATCTGAGGACAGGTAAGACGACGTGGCGGAGGGTGAGGAGGACGTTGAGGACGAGGAGTAGGACGAGGAGGAGGACGAGGAGGACATTCCAGGCGAGGGTTGGGTGGATGAGAGGTCAGACTCAGACAGATCGTGGACCAGGAGAGAGGAGACCACCCTGTATATCCCAATCACGCGAACTGGATTGAGGTCTTAGAGTCTGCAGCAGCAGGAGGCGCGGCGTCGTCATCACAATCAGGCTGAGGGGGTCGAGGAGTAGCACGGTGGTGATGAGGCGGACGAGGAGCAGCGCGGTGGTCATGAGGCGGATGAGGAGCAGCACGGTGGTGATGAGGATGGTGGTGGGCAGGGGTGCGGGGAAGAGCATGGGCAGAAGGGTCAGGGGGTCGAACGGGAACATGGGCAGGAGGGGCAGGAGGAGCAACGCAGATGGGCAATGAGGAGCAGGTGCAGGGCGAGCAAGAGGAGGACATGCATAGCGAGTCGCGCTGCCAAAATGCCGGATCATTTTACGGTCCCAATACGGCATCGCAACTCATCGGTCGACTTTGTGCACATCCCGGGTTTGTGTGGGATCCGCTGGGGTATCGTGCTTCACGTGGCAGAGGGCGCCCACCTTTAGGACGTGCCAGAGGGCGGTCCGACGCTAGAGGTGCCGCTCAGGGGGCTCTGCGAGGCAGAGGGCGACTGCGAAAGGAGCAACAACCACGTCCTGATCCTCAGGCAGAGTCTGATGATGACTCTCATGAGTGTGCACCTCTGCATAGATCAAAAAAGAGGAGGACAGAGCCACAGAGAGAGAGAGAGAGAGAGAGAGAGAGAGAGAGAGAGAGAGAGAGAGAGAGAGAGAGAGAGAGAGAGAGAGAGAGAGAGATCAGACAGAGAGATCAGACAGAGAGATCAGACAAACTATTGTGTTCGGATGTCATTTCATCTTCGACTTTTCCTTCTGTAAAATTCCCGAGGTGTCGTGCCCGATCCTCCTAATGACCTGTGTCTGCAGACTTTGCATCCACTCCTCACTGTGTCCGAGTTTCTGTGCGTCTGTGTGTGCGTGTTTGTGTGCAGAGGCGAACTTGAAGTGCCATTGTGTATGTGTGTGTGCGTGCAGAGGGAGAGGTGCAAGTTTGTGTGTGTGTGTGTGTGTGTG